AAATATATTTGTTAACTAAATCTCTAAAAATTAGAATGAAAAACACAACAAAAATATGTTATTTCAATAAATTCACATTAAAAAAAAAACAATATTTTCCTAAAATAGGAATGGGAGTGTTTTTATTTTATTTGATATAACATGATTTTGAAGTGTTTTTCTCTTAATTTTTTAAAGATCATGTTGATAAACACTAATATTATAAAAAAATATTAGAATATTAATTTTAGAAAATGAATTCTAACTTTAACTGATTTAACACAAAAATTATTATATATTCAATCATGAAAAGTAAAAATGTAACCCAATGCTATAAAAAAATTTAAATAATCATATAAAATATTAAGAAAGAAAATAAAAGAATACTAAAGAAAATTATGAATTTAAAGTTATTTAAATAGATAATCAAAGGTTTTTTTGGCTTACTAAATGAAGAAATATTTAAAAACCTCAATTCCTAATTAATTAAATTAACATAAATTCATTTTATTTAAAGAGGTTAGTGTGTATCAATTTTGACTTTAAAAATAATTAGAGACTCAACTTACACTTGAAAACTAAAATTTTATCATATTAAATGTTGATATCTAAATTTGAAAATCGATTATATATAATATAATTTTTTAAATTTTGAGTTGAGTTTTAATTAAATAAAACGACATAATTTAAAGTTAAAACTTCAATTATTTTTAAGAGTTGAAACTAATATGTATTTTTCTTTATTTAAATCATATCTTTATTTTCTGAAAATTCTTTATTTAGGTCTTAAATATTTTCTTTATATTTGAAATGCTCTTTAAAATTCATACTATAAAATCAAAATTTTTAACAAATAATAATTAGAGTACCATATTAAATGTTTTTCAAAAGTTAAGGGGGGGCTCCCTCCCTTGTCATTCATTGGCTCCGTCCCTCGTGCTATGGATCAAGACGTACGTGCTTTTTGCTTTCTATTTTAATAAAATAATTATAAAAAAAAAAAAAGGACATTATGCCATGCAGGCTACTCTAAATTATACCATAACGTAAATTACGGAAGTGAGTCACTAGTTCCTTTTGTCTTTTTTCTTTTTTTTTTTTTTCTATGGTCTGAACTACTATAAAACGGGAATCTCAATGATTTATATATTTTTTAATTTAATAAAAAAAAGGAAAAAAAGTTTATAGGAGCTTAGGTTAGAATACGCTAGCGCTTACGTATGCATTGGATGCCGATTGGGTTGCCAGGTCATTGCAAACGTTTTGCATGAGAATTTCTTGACACGTAAACGACATAGTCGTGTGAATCAAACGACAGCCGAAGAAAATGCAATGAATAAACTACTTTCTCTGATTAAATAAAATTTAATTAAATAATTTTATATATTAATAAATAAATAACAATTAAAATTTTTTATTCATATCTTTTATTAAGAATTTTTAGTTAAATTTTAAAAAAATTTAATTATAATTTTGTATATATAAAATTATGAAAAAAAATTTATATAAAATTTGAAGATTAGGACAATTTAAAGTACTTCAAATTTCGGACCACTTTGAAAGTGCAGTCTCCTTCTCTTGATGGGTTCGAAGTTTGAATCCCACACTTATCATTTTGGTAAAAAAAAAAAAATCCTTCAAATTTCATTAATTTAAGGATTTTATTGACAAACAAAATGAATGGTTATGGTGATTATAATTTTGGTTAGGGTGATTATAATTTTGGTTAGGGTGATTATAACTTTTGTTAATATCATAAAAAATTATTAAAATTTTATTTTAATTTAATTATTAAAAATAATTAATATTATAATTTAATAAGTTAAAATTAATTTATAAACAAATATTTTTAAATACCGTAGAATTAATTGCTTAAAACAAAACTACAAAACTAGTAAAATCCTTAACAAAAGTCATGATGGCAGTAACCGCTTCCGACAAAATGATACCATGTGGACCCCGCTTTCCTTTCCCTTCCATCCGAAGTTAATGAGGTCTCAGGCACTTCCCTACAGCCGATACTACAACTCAATCAAATCAAAACCCTCGATCTTTCCTACGTCTTTTGACCGTTCAACATCAACGGCCAGTGTCCTCCCATATTTTAAACTCCGATTTTGTAGCGGTATATATAAATACCTTGGCCGCCAGTTTTCTATCCTCCACTACTCGTCGGTATTTTTCTCTTGTTTATTACCTTTTTTTTTTTTTTTTGGCTTCGAAGAAGTATTCAATTCGTTTCATGATTTTAAACTGTTTCGGAATCAAATCGAATCCAAATCGGAATCGGAATCAGCTTCGGACTAAAAATTTTCTAATCGGAATACTGAATCAGTTCGGTTGGTGAATTTTTGGCAATCAAAAGCTACTTTTTCAGCTGCGAATTGTCTCAGGTTTCTCTTATTCTGTGATTCTCGAAGTTTAATTTCTAAATTTTTTCAGCTTGAAATGGTTTTTTTAAACATTTTCAGCAGAATTCACTCTCAGTTGCTGTCGAAATCAGCTTCAGCTTAATTTTTCTGGTCGGAGACAGATCATTGTCGTGTTCTTGATTTAGTAGTTGATTTCGAAAGCTAAAGCAAAGTTCGAGCTGGTTTCGAATGTAAGGTATTTACAATTTTCTAATCTTGATGAATTTTGAAGTTGAAGTGATTATCTGTTTTCCTGGTCGGAAAGTTAAGTGGATGAAAAATTAAAAAAAAAAAAAGAAAAGAAATTATAGTACTTGATTTTTTTGTTTTTAATTTTTGTCTAAAAGCTACAGACTTGCTTTTGAGTTTTGACTGAATTTTTTATTTGTATTTTGTTTTTAAAGTCTGAATTTGTACTTTTTGTTTTTGCAAGAGGTCGGAAATCTAGCTTTTGAATCTCTGCTTGATCTCGTTTTTCTTGGCAACCAAACAGGATTTTGTGTTTTGTTTTGCAGAGTTTGTTTGATTTTGAAGGTTGAAGAATCTGGAGAGGGAGTTTTCAGATCAGAGATTGAACTGCTACTGAGCTCTTTCTTTACCTGAATTCTTTGGTTTCTTCTTATTCACTGATTTCGCCTGTGCTGTTAATCTACCATGATGATTGAAATAAGCTCTCTTTTGGCGAAATCTGGCATCTTGGCCTCTGATCACACTTCAGTAGTTTCCATGAACTTGTTTGTTGCGCTTCTTTGTGCCTGTATTGTGATTGGTCATCTTTTGGAAGAGAGTAGATGGATGAACGAGTCAATTACGGCCCTTGCCATTGTGAGTCCGCATTTGCACTGCATTCCAATGTGTTCATATTGTTGATTGGTTTTCTGGTGACTGAATAAATTGCATTCTGCATTGAATTGTTGGCAGGGGCTGTGCACTGGAGTTGTTATTTTGCTTACAAGTGGATGGAAAAGCTCTCATTTATTAGTATTCAGTGAGGATTTGTTCTTTATATATCTGCTTCCACCTATCATCTTCAACGCAGGGTGAGTTGAGTTTATATTACTGTCTCCTTCTCTCTTTATATGTAAGTTATGATCAATGTTATTCTGAAGTCTACTTAATTATAGATCTTCCATGGGATGTAAATGGTTGAGCCGGGGGCTTTTAGAAACTGGTTCCCGTGAGATTTTGATTGTGCTGTTTAAGCAGCACATATAGCTATTTTAGTCCAGGTTGGGGGTGATGGTACTTATATTAAATAGAGTAATGCTGAGCGGTTTTGATGCTTTTTTCTTTTTGAACAGCAGTTTTGATACTTTATGAGTCACAACTCACAAGTTGTTGTAGTTATGTTTGAAGAGAGTGGTGCTCAACCTCTAATTTGTTTCTGACGGTTTCTATTTGTAGAGCTCTCTGCTCAAGGTTAAGCTATTATATTCTAGGAAGAGGCCTCCGAGAAAAAGTAACTTTCAAATGCTAAAAAATCTCAAGTTTGTGTTTTGAATTAACATGATTTAAATGGTATTTTTCAGGAAAAAAAAAGAGGATGTGAAGCCTTAATTATATGTCTTAGCTTGTATACTTGTAAAATGAGATTAAGAAATTCAAATTAGATTGGCATTGATCCTTGTTCATGTTTTCATCCAAGCAGATTCCAGGTGAAGAAGAAGCAGTTTTTCCGCAACTTTATGACTATCATGATGTTTGGTGCAGTTGGCACATTGATATCCTTTATCATTGTCTCATTAGGTATGTGCAAGGATTTGATAATCTCCAAATGTTTTTATCTATTTTCCTGTAAAGAAGTTTAGGGGAACCAGATAATCCATGCATTGTATCCAAAAAACTTCAGAGCACATTTTCAAATATGTGAAATCAGTTAAAATGTTAATTTCTGTTGTATTTTTACATTGTCATTCATCTATAATTCTGAATAGTAGATAGTGATATGAAGTGTTGATATTCCTTTTCCATTGATTTGGTTATTGCTGAATGCTAATCTTGTTTTTACCATCTGTTAATTCTCTTTCTTTGTTTTGACCTAGGTGCAATGCACTTTTTCAAGAAAATGAATATTGGCACCCTAACAATAGGGGATTATCTTGGTATAGTAATGACTCTCTATTTTCCCACTTCTTTCTTTCTTTCCTTTTTCTTATATTTTTATCAGTTTGTTTTCTACTTCTTTCTATTTTATATTTTCTTCATTTATTTACTGACCATACTCTATCGGTTGCAGCAATTGGGGCCATATTTTCTGCAACAGATTCTGTTTGCACTCTGCAAGTATGAATGCTTTAGAAGCCATTGTCTTGTTACAAAATAAATACAAAGAGCTAAGCTGACCTTGATTTATCCAATCTGTGGTGGTGCAGGTGCTTAATCAAGATGAGACACCTTTATTATACAGTTTGGTGTTTGGGGAAGGTGTTGTGAATGATGCCACATCAGTGGTGCTTTTTAATGCAATCCAGAGCTTTGACCTCTCTCATTTAAACTCTGGAGTTGCTTTGCAATTAGTTGGCAACTTTATGTACTTATTCATTTCAAGTACTGTTCTTGGTGTATTGGTTAGCCTCTCTTTCTATTGTCACACTTTTTTACTTGGTTGTGGCCATTTGTGTTTCTTAGACCCTTCTTAATTATTTCCTGCAGGCTGGACTGCTTAGTGCATACATCATCAAAAAGCTCTATTTTGGAAGGTTGGTATATAAGCTCAATGCTGATGAATTATCCTTATGGTAAAATGATTTAGCAAAGGGTAATTTGAAGTATCCAATAAATTTAATGGCATCAGGAAATAGATAATATAGAAAGTTTAACAACCACAACAATGCAGAGCATGCGATTAAGTTAAAGTGATTAAAGTTGTCTCTATGTGTGTGTATATATTGTGTGTAAATGTTTGTGGATGTTGTATGCTGATGTTTGTTTCCAGCTTTCTTTTTATGAAACTAGATGGTGATTATATCAATTTCTATTTAAACTATGGGTACTTATTGAAGAATGAAATGGTATATTTTGGTTAGAGAGGGAAAACCTTTATTGTTCCTTTAAAGGTTGCATTCTCATGTGTATGTTCTTGTAAAACCAGGCACTCAACTGATCGTGAGGTTGCTCTTATGATGCTAATGGCTTATCTGTCTTATATGCTGGCCGAAGTAAGGATTCTCATAAATTTTGGGGCACTCTCCTGTTTCCATTCTTCTTTACAATAAGAGCTTTTGTGTGCAAATGACACTAACTACAATATTGGGAATTTTGCTTTTCCTTGCAGCTATTCTATCTGAGTGCTATTCTCACTGTATTCTTCTGTGGAATAGTTATGTCTCATTACACATGGCATAATGTGACAGAAAGTTCAAGAGTGACAACTAAGTATGCATGATACCCAGAATCTATCATTTGAGCAAGCAAATCAATTTTCATGTCTTTTAAGGAGAGTTTCCTGCCAACTTCTTGTATTGCTAATGTTTTACTGCTCTTTACCTATTATTACAGGCATGCTTTCGCCACATTGTCATTTGTCGCAGAGATATTCATCTTCCTTTATGTTGGAATGGATGCTTTAGACATTGAGAAGTGGAGGGTTGTAAGTGATAGGTAAGGTTAACTATGAGTTGATCTTTATATTATCTAATGTCAACATTTCTTAGAGTATTATTTAATTTATACATTGTTATCTATACTTGTCCTTTGTTTTCAGTCCAGGAAAATCAGCTGTTGTGAGTTCAATTCTGTTAGGACTCATTCTTCTTGGAAGAGCAGCCTTTGTTTTCCCCCTGTCCTTCTTATCGAACTTGACTAAGAAATCTCCATACGATAAAGTTGATTTGAAGCAACAAGTATGTATTTTAAACTACTCTGGTTGTGCGTTTGAGGGTCCTGAACAATTGATTATTCAAGTGTTTCTATGTTCATCTTTTCAGGTTACTGTTTGGTGGGCTGGTCTTATGCGTGGTGCTGTTTCAATGGCACTTGCTTATAATCAGGTATAAGATTGAACTGTTTCCTTCTCCATAAGCCATGGAGCATTGTAAGTTCTTTATTATCTTTTGTAGGGATTGCTCATACACAAAAGATTTATAAACATCCACATGTCCATATCAAGGTCCCCACATACTTTGATAGTGAATCGCAAGTTCTTGGTTGAGAGGCATCAGTTGTAGCCATGTTATTTGTCTCTTCCTTTCTTGCAAAAAATGAGCTTGATAATGTGATTAACTTTCTTTTGCAGTTCACCAGCAAAGGGCATACTCAGCTGCGTGACAATGCATTAATGATCACCAGCACCATCACGGTTGTACTTTTCAGCACTGTGGTAAGACACCATAAGCCCCTGCAATCAAGAACTCAGGATTAGATGCATGAATGCCTTAGTTTCACCCTCTTCTTTTCTTCTGCTTCTTTTCTAACTTGTAATCAAACATATTACCATCGAATATCTGATGAATCTGGATCTCTTTAATGTCTGTTCTTTCACTTTTTCCCTTCTTTTGGTCAAAGCACAAAATCTGATGTATTTTGCTTGTCCCAATTATACAGGTTTTTGGGTTGATGACCAAACCATTAGTGAGGATCCTGCTTCCTTCATCAAAACAACTTATCAGGATGATTTCTTCAGAACCATCCACTCCTAAATCACTCACTCTCCCACTTCTTAACAATGAGCCAGATTCAGAAGCTAACCACCAAGGCAACGGAAGTGTCCACCGCCCCACCAGCTTACGAATGCTTTTGAGCACACCATCTCACACTGTCCATTACTACTGGAGAAAATTCGACAATGCTTTCATGCGACCTGTATTTGGTGGAAGGGGTTTTACACCCTATGTTCCTGGCTCACCCACTGAACAAACTGAGGGTCAATGGCAATAAGAATTGAAAAGGAAACATGAAGAAGGGGAGGATATACATATATTAATTTATGAAGGTGTAAGGAAAGCCTGCAACCTGCTTTCAGTGTGGAGTTTGTTGTTAATATTATGAGCTTTGGCGTTGGCGTGGCAACTTCAATTTTACCCAGCAACAAGTAGCTGCTATTTTTTCCTTTTGATGGCTCTCAAATTTTCCAAAGTCTATATATGAAATTGTATTGTATCCCTTTAAAGTGGGTAGGAAATAGGTTTGGTATTATTTAAAAAATTTTGGCATTTGTATAAGGTTTTTCCAGTGTGTCCTAATGTCAGAATTTTGATCAACCAAACGATTCTTTCTGGATTGTATCCTCATACGAGAATTTTGATTGACTAAATGATACTTTGTGGTGTCTGAATTGACATGGTAATGGGATGAATTTTGCTTGTTCTACATTAATTGACATAGCATTTCTTGTTGCGGTCTATTGGTGGTCACTGCAATCTAATAGGGTTATCGGTGAATTGCAACCCTGATCAGTAATCGAATTTTATCATGAGTAAGATACTAACTTAATTTTTAATTTTTAACTTTTAACCATTGTCTCTGTCAAAAAAAGAAAAAAAAAAACATGATCGAAACTGTTATTATTATTTTTTTTTTTGAACAAGAGGGAATTTTTTGGGAAAAGGAGTTTAAGTTTTTGCTGTACATTATTAGCCTAGGGTTATAAGTGCCGTCGAAACTGGATGGGAAGCTTGTGATTTGCCAGGATAAGTGACAGAAATTTCATCACATGATAGGGTATTTTGTCAGGGCAAAATTCCACAGCTCTTAATTGACATCATATTTTTTTATTGAACCCTTTAAGTTTTTGTTAACAATCAATTAAAACATTTCTATTCCTATGAAAAAAAAAAAAATCTTACTCTTTATCTTAAATTAATTATTATTTTTTATTTTTTAAAATAAATAAATATTTTTTATTTAAACTATATTATTATATATTTATTTTGATTAATTATTTTATTACAAAAATTTTTATTTTATTTTTTAATTTTTTTAAAGATAATATAAATAAATATAAATTATCTTAAATTCTTAATTAAAAACTAAATAAAAATAACAATTATTTTAAAACGAAAGGAGTAATTATTAGTGGGAGAAATAAGATATGTTACTAAAAGTGCATCTTAACAATATGTTAAGAATTTAATGTGATTTTT